TGGAAGTTAATTGAGTTTTCTTGAGACAGTCACTAACCTTCAGCTTTGGGAAGGAAGAGAAAGTATAATGTATGTTGTCTTGAGTTCCTTGGAGAAAAAATGTAATCTAAAACTACACAAGAGTAACAAGAGCAACCATGACAATGTAACTGTGAAAAAGATAATCTTTTGCTACCTTATATATAAGTGTTAATAGGTTTTGCATAATGTTTGAAGACATTTGTTAAAACTGAGATTCACACCATCAAATTATAGAAGGTCATGATAAAGCATTTCATAGTTTACATTTCGACCTTTGAAAGAACATGGGTCCCAGGGTGGGACATACTTCTTGAATTCCAAATGTTTCAATGAGTCAGGTGGTATGGAAAAATGTAAAATAGCTAGCAGTACATAGTTACAATTGGTTCATGTACTCTTTATTTCATTTAATGAAGAAATATAGTATCACTCCATTCTCTAGGAACAAGGAGAGTGTACTTATTACTTCAGAAATGTTTATCTACAAATTTAATGGTTTAATTGATCAAAGTTCATTATGTTTTTTAAAGTCAGACAACAGGTCTTTAAAAACCATCCCTTTATTTATGTAAACGTAATTAGAATTAGAATTCTTTATTGGCCAAATGTGATTGGACACACAAGGAATTTGTCTTGATGCAAATGCTTTCAGTATACATAAAAGAAAAGATTCAAGAATCAAGATTCAAGAATCATAAGGTACGACACTTAATAATAGTCATAGGATACAATAAGCAATCAAATCATACTAGGAAATAGTCAATATAAATTGTAAGGATACAAGCAACAAAGTTACAGTCATACAGTCCAGGTGGGAGGGGATGGGTGATAAGGAGTGATGAGAAGATTAATAATAATAGTAGTGCAGACTTTGTAAATAGTTGGACAGTATTGAGGGAATTATTTGTTTAGCAGAGTGATGTCCTTGTGTCTAGTTGTTCTGGTGTGCAGTGCTATATAGCGTCATTTTGAGGGAAGGAGTTGAAACAGTTTATGTCAAGATTTGAGGGGTCTGTAAATATATTTTCACAGCCCTTTTTTTGACTCGTGCAGTATACAGGTCCTCAATTGAAGGCAGGTTGGTAGTAATTGTTTTTTCTGCAGTCCTAATTATCCTCTGAAGTCTGTGTCTGTCCTGTTGGGTTGCAGAACCAAACCTGACAGTTATAGAGGTACAGATGATAGACTCAACAATTCCTCTGTAGAACTGGATCAGCAGCTCCTTGGACAGTTTGAGCTTTCTGAGTTGGCGCAGAAAGAACATTCTTTGTTGTGCTTTTTTGATGATTTTTTGATGTTAGGTGTCCATTTTAGGTCATGTGATATAGTAGAACCTAGAAATTTGAAGGTCTCTACTATTGATACTGTGTTGTCTAGTATTGTAAGAGGTAGTAGTAAAATCTACCACCATTTCAATGGTTTTTGAGTGTGTTCAGTTACAGATTGTTCCGGTTACACCACAAGGTAAGTTGTACAACCTCCTGTCTGTATGCAGATTCGTCATTGTCTCGAATGAGACCAATCACTGTTGTGTCATCTGCAAACTTCAGTATTTTAACAGATGGATCGTTTGAGATGCAGTCATTGGTATATAGGGAGAAGAGAAGTGGAGAAAGCATACAGCTTTGGGGGGGGGCTGTGCTAATTGTGCAGGTATTGAATGTGATTCTGCCTAGCTTCACCTGCTGCTTCCTGTCTGTTAGGAAATTTATGATCCATTTAAAATGTGTTCAGGTACCAATAGCTGGTTTAATTTAGTTAGAAGAATTCTGGAATGGTGGTATTGGATGCTGAACTGAAGTCTACAAAGATGATCCTTGCTTAGGTATTTGGAGATTCAAGGTGTTGTAGGATGTAATGCAGAGCCATGTTAACAGCATCATCTGTCAATCTATTTGCTTGGTATGCAAACTGCATGGGATCTAACAGTGGATCCGTGATGGTTTTCAGGTGGGACAGCATAAGCCTTTCAAAGATTTTTATAACTACAGATGTTAGAGCAACAGGTCTGTAGTCATTCAGTTCTTTGATGGAGGGCTTCTTTGGCACTGGGATGATGGTAGAGCATTTGAAGCAGGAAGGAACATAGCACATCTCTAGTGAAGATTCGGGTGAAGATGGGGGCCAATTGATCAGCACAGACTTTTAAGCAAGAAGGAGTTATTTTGTCTGGTCCTGGTGCTTTTCCTGGCTTTTGTCTGTGAAATAGATCTTGCACTTCTTTTTGTGTGATCACCAGAGGTTGTGGACCCAATGGATTGGGGCCAGTTGTAGGAGGCATGGCTGTTGTTGGTGTGTTTGAGAGGGGATTGTGGAGATAAGTGGCTGTAGTTTCCTTTCAAACCTGCAGTAAAACACATTCAGGTCATCTGCTAGTTTTTGATTTCCTTCTGCCTGGGAAGGAGGTTTGCTGTAGCTGGTGATGTTTTTAAGAGTTTTCACATGTTTGCTGGTTCATTTGTTGAGCACTGATTCCTTAACAGAGCAGCTTCTTTTTGCTGCTCTGATCTCTCTTGCTAATATGTTTCTGGCCTGATTGTATAGCATTCTGTCACCTTTTCTGTAGGCTTCCTCTTTGGAATGACGTAGCTGCTTAAGTTTAGCTGTGAACCAAGGTTTATTGTTACTATATATTTGCAGGTTCCTTGTTGGTACACATAAGTCTTTGCAGAAGCTGACATATGATGTTACAATATCTGTGAGCTGGTCTAGGTCTGCGGAGGTATCTTCAAAAACATTCCAATCAACTCATCAGTCCAAGTCCTCACTGATTTAATTGTTGGTTTTATGGTTTTAAGTCTTGGTCTGTAGGCAAGTACAAGGTAAATCATGCAGTGATCAGAGTGTCCCACAGCTGCTCATGGTAAAGACCTATAAGCATCTTTTACTGTTGTGCAGCAGTGGTCTAAAGTATTTTTGCCTCTGGTGGGACAATTTACATGCTGGAAATATTTTGGGAGCTCTTTCCTTAAATTTGTTTGATTGAAATCTCCTAAAATGATGGGAAGGGAATCTGGGTGTTTGGCTTCAGCCTCCATAACTTGATCAGCTAGAGTTTGTTTACACAAGCTTGTGGAGGAACATACACAGCTATTAGGAGAAATGAGGAGAACTCAGTGGAGAATAAAATGGCTTGCATTTGATGTCTACGTTTTCATCACAGAACTTATATATTATACTTATATCCTGACACCAGCTGTTGATGATATATAAACATAATCCTCCTCCCTTTGTTTTACCTGATGTCTCTTCTGTCTGATCTAAATATCTGAAATCTTGGGATGTATATGCTGTTGTCATGAATTTCTGCATTAAGCCAGGTTTCAGTAAAACAGAACTGCTGAATTGTAGAAATCAGAATTACCTCTATTAAAAGATGAATTTCATCCATCTTGTTAGCAAGTGAGCGTAAATTAGAAAGATTGAAGGGAGGGGGGTCCCCCCCCATTCCTTAGTCTATTTAAAATTCCCACTCGTTTACCTCATCTCCTTTAGATTTAAGTTTAGATATATTAGATTGTGTGGTGCTAGAACAGATTTTTACTTAGTTTCATACTTCTTTTCCGGTGCATTCACTGATGCATATGTCTGCATAGTTCATTCTCCCATACTGATGCACATATGCAGTCTTTGTTCAATTTAAGTAGCAAAGCTACTTGATTGTTCTCTACCTGCTTAAACCCTTTCTTTCCTGAAAGATTATAGTCTGCTTGATGGGATATTTTGGAACCACATGGGAAGTGGTATTGGAAATTGCAAATCCATATTTTCAGAGAAATCTCCATTGGTTCAAAAACCACACATGAATACAGTATGTCCTATTTGCAGGAAGACTGGATCTAACCAATATATCATCTTTCAAGATATAATGCTACCTTATACCAACTGATCAAATAGACTCCACTCCATGAATTTATTGCATAAGTTCAATAATTTTTAATGTGTTTTAGGGCATTCAGTTAGCATAGTATTCGTACTCTTCTGGTACATAACACATGTCAAAAAGCATGGACAAAATGTTGTATTGAAAGTTATAGAATAATTGCGGACAAGAGAAATGTACTTGATTCATAATGTCTCTATAACATTATGTAATACAATTATTTTTACATTGTCCATATTATATGCATTCAGGCTTAGGTGTATAAAATGTAAATATCATATTTTTAGGTGTATAAGATGCACTCCCCTCCACAAAAGTGGTTGGAAATGTCTGTGTGTCTTATACAGCGAATGTTGCCGAAGCCCTGCCCACCCACCAGCCCGCACCCTTCAGCCTCTGCCTCCAGCAATTTGCCTCCTTGCAGCAAACAGCAAATAGCCTGGTCAGCTTCAGCACAGCCTGATTAGCACAAGAAGTTGATTGTCGGTTGGATCAGCCTCCCAAGGGTCAGGTGTTTCAGGATGCAGGGATTGCCATTGCCTATTGCCGCCTCTGTGCACCCCATTTTTGGCCTCTGCATCCTGTTTTCAGCCTCCACATGCCCCATTTTCGGCCTTCATGCATCCCAGTTTCAGCCTGTTCCGGGTGGCGGGGATTGGAACGGGCGGAAAATGGAGCGCATAGAGGCCAAAAATGGATGTGGAGGCCGAAAATGGGGTGCACAGAGCGGCAATAGGCGATGGCAATCCTTGCAGCCTAAAACAGCTGATCATCAGGAGGCCGATCCAACTGACAATCAGCTGCTTGTGCTAATCATGCTGTGCTGAAGTTGACCAGGCTGTTTGCTGCAAGGAGGCAAATTGCTGTGAGGCAGAGACAGATTTTTTTTCTTGTTGTCCTCCCCAAAAGTCTTATACTTCGGAGCGTCTTATACTCCGAAAAATAAGGTAAATGCTATTATTTATAACATGCATTCTTGTAACAGTTTTTTGTTTCTGCTATGTAGTATAAATATGGAAACTGGGAATAAAGTAAAATTGCCATCTTAATAGTTTGAAAAATATATTTTTAAGTATTTTTACCCTTTCCTGTTTAGAGTTGGCTGAGATGTGAAGAACAGACATGCCAGTATCGTATCTGTCGACTTCCTCTACATTTTTCCCGGAATGGACCTCTATGTCCAGTTTGTAAGAAAGCTATTGTCAAACGAGAG